CCCCCCCGCGCGATATCCAGCCTGTGTGATACATTTTGGGGAGTGAAATCCATCAACAACTATCCACCTAATTCCACCATGACCAACATAATAATAGTTTTACATTACAAATGTGGACTTACACATTTGTAATGTAAAGTTTCTGGCCTTCATAATTGTGGCAAGAAGCTTGAAAACACTGATATTTAGAAGCTACAGAAGCAGGACACTTCAGGATTTTAAATCAGACAGTAAATGACCAGTCTGGCTCATCCCAACAGCTCTTGGTTTTGTATTGACTTGAGGCTGGAATTGTAAGAATATTTATTATATAGCTGATCCTCCACATATTTACTCACAGGTTAACCATACTTGGTTCAATGGGACTTATTCCTTAGTTCACCACACGAAGGGAATTTCTGGGAAATGTCCCCCGAAAATCAGCGAACTTAATCACAAGCAACCTGAGGGCTATGGACTGCTCCAAAGCAGACCGGACTAATCCAGTAAAACCACCAGCGCTTCCCTCGTCACTGTATTTATTTGTATGGCAGCCGAGTGCCCTCTACTGACTTCCGCTGCCCATACACGTTCATCCCACCGCCCACTGCCCACAGTTGGCTCCGCCCCGCTGGTCTAGGATTGGTCGGAGGTTCCGCCCTGGTGTTATTCTGCTGTCAGTCACGCGTTTCCTGGCTCTTCCTGGTGACGGGCGGAGGGGCGTGAGCAGCTGGGGGTGCAGGTGAGACGGCGTGCTCAGAGGCATAGGCACGGTGCGGGATGGGAATTGCGGTAACGAAAGCAAAAGCGCAACCCGGCTGAGAACGTAGAGAATCTCTGGTTGGGGGGAGGATGGGGAAAGCAAGGCGTCGAGCATCATAGCTTCTCCTGCCTGCTTCTTCTTTCCCAGGTTCGGGTGAAGGTGTGTGGCCTGGCGGGAGGAGGATGGCTCCGTCTGGGGAGTGATTCTACGGGGAGCGGCTGTTGCAGTCCTTGAGAGCGCCGAAGGGTAAGCTAGGCTTGTGGTTAGAGCAGGAGAGCAGGTTTCGAATCCCGACCGGGCAGGCAAACCTTCGATTTCCCGGCCTCGTATGGTTATTCAGGCTGATGCGTAGTCCAGTCATGGGCATATTTACGTGGAAGACAGCCTGCTGAACTAAGCAGGGCTTTTTCACAGATCTGCATGCATAGAACTGAGGCCTTACAGCCTGGTTGTGTTGAATGTTTATCCAGAAGGAAGCCCAATTTTAGTGGAAAATACTTCAGTGCAACCCTAGTGTGTTAAGGATCACTCTGCCCAAGGCAATAGTAGGCCTGGAAATAAGGTTACCGGCCTGGAGGAGGTGTGTTAACATATCTCAACTGTGCTTGCAATCGCTTTGAAAAGGGGTTCCACTAATCATGTCTGGATTTGATGCAGCTTTAAAACCCGGTCCTGCCATAAGGAATCACAGGGCCCTTTTTGATGGATAGTGAATGTCTTTTA